CAACACTAGCGGCACCGTATCCGCCGCTGGTCTACCCTTGCTGTCATACCAGCTGGAAAAAACGCCACACTTTTAGGTAAATCGCTGACGTTACTGGTTTCCTACTGTGCATCAGTGTGGACACTACCTTAGCAGACAACCCCTTGTGCACCAGCACCTCGCTCTCAGAAGCCATGCAGCTAAATGTAAGGCCTGTACTTGCGGGTGTCTTACCGTGCTCTGCACTAGCAGGTCTGCCGTCAGTGGAAGAAGCAGTGGCCCCTCCACACACAGCTCTAGGAGTGTTGTGAACCACGGCCTCTTCCGCCAGTACGGTGCTATGAGAATTAGCGTCATGCGTTCCTCCCTGAGTTTCCGAAGAACATTCGGAATCAACTGAAACGGAGGAAATGCGTAACCCAACCGGAACCTCCAAGGGTGCGCCAAAGCGTCTACCCCCAGAGCCCCGTCGTACCTTGAGAGGGAAAATAATTTTTCTACCTGCCTGTTGTTGGCTGCAGCGAAGAGGTCCACCTCCGGACAGCCCCACAAGCTGGTGATCCAGGCAAACATGCTCTTGTTCAGAGCCCATTCTGACCTGTGAAGTTCCGTTCGGCTGAGCGTGTCCGCCAACTCGTTCAGGCTGCCTTTGATATGCCTCGCCGTCAGGGAAAGGAGATTGCGTTCTGCCCATGACAGAATTTCTGTCGCCAACGCCATCAGGCCTTGCGACCTCGTGCCCCCCTGCTTGTTTATATAAGCTACCGCTGTGGCATTGTCCGAGGCCACGGCTACATGGTGGCCTGCTAAAGTATCCCGAAAGTGGCAGAGAGCCAACCCTACCGCCTTCAGCTCTCTCCAGTTTGATGACCTGAGCCTGCCCATATGGTCCCAGGCATCCTGCCAAATATGCTCCAGGCAGTGGGCTCGCCATCCCCAGGCACTGGTATCTGTCGTGACAACCAACGGTGCTGGCTGGCACCACGGCCTGCCTACTGAGAGGTTCCGACAGTCCATCCACCACAGTAGTGATTGTGTGATCTTTTCCGTGATGTGGACGACTTTGTCTAGGTCTTCCTGCCGACCCCCCCAGAGGCTCAACAGCCAATTCTGTAGCGTCCTTGAGTGGAATTGCGCCCAGGTAACTGCTGGGAAGGCGGACGTCATCAGTCCCACCAGTCGCATGACTGATCTGACCGATACCTCGCACCGCAATTTCAGCCTTAGTGTCTCCTCTATTAGCAAAGAAACTTTTTCCCTGGGTAATGCAATGGTCATATTCTGGCTATTGATCCAATAACCCAAAAACCTGACCGTCTGTGCTGGAACTAGTTGTGACTTTTCTCTGTTCACTAACCAGCCCAGACTCTCCAAGTGTAGTATCGCTAGCTCCAGTTTTTGTTTGAGCACAGCCTCTGTCGGGGCAAAAAACAAAAGGTCGTCTAAGTAGGGAATGACCCCCACTCCCTGTGACCTTAGGGGGGCCAAAGTTTCCGCTAACACTTTGGTGAAGATGTGAGGCGAAGAGGAAAGGCCGAACGGCAAGGCCCTGTATTGGAAATGCAGGACCCCCGTTGGCCCCCGGACAGCAAACCTCATTAGGTATTGTGATGACTGTCTTACTGCAATGTGAAAATAAGCGTCTCTTAGGTCTATAGTTGCCAAAAACGATCCCGGGGGCAGCAATTCGCGTATGGAAAAGATCGATTCCATACGGAATCTTTTGTACAGTACCACTCTGTTCAGTGGTCGCAGATTTAGTATCAGTCTGCACTTGCCTGAGGGCTTCATCCTGGAAAAAATGTGGGAGTAAAATCCCCTCTTCTCCTCTGAAGCTGGTACTTGCACAATGACCCCCTGGTCCAACAGATCTTGCAGGGCTGCCGTCATTGCCTCTGCTTTCTTCCTGTCCTTGGACAGGGAAGTAATCAGAAGCCTCGATGGTGCCCGTTCCGTCAATTCTATTTTGTAGCCGATCTGAACCAGCTCCAAAATGAACTTGTTGCTCGTCAGCTCCCTCCAGAGCGGGAAGAATTCCCCTAGTCTTCCTTCCACCCTGAGCAATTGGTCATTGGGATTTATTGGGCTGCTGAGGTGGGTTAAAGAGGAAATTGCTTTTATCCTTTCCCTTTCTGAAGGCCCACCCTTTTGACTGGTCTTGTTTTTTTTGTTTTTCCCTTTAGGGAAATTTTGACTCCTCTGGCCACGAAAAAACTTTTTCCCCTGCTGCTTGGGTGGCAGCAGAAACCCTTTTTTCTTGTCCGCGGATCTATCCAACACCGCTTCCAACTCCTGGCCAAACAGCAAGTCACCCTTGAAGGGGAGCCAGCATAGTTTTGCCTTGGAGGCTGCATCTCCTGCCCAAGTTTTGAGCCACAATGCCCTCCTGGTGGAGTTGATTAGCGCCGTGGTTCGAGCTGAGTATCTGACCGCCTCAGCCAAGGCGTCTGCAATGTAAGCGGCTGCCTTACTCAGTACAGGGAGGGAACCCAGTAACTGATCTCGATCTGTTCCAGACTCCAGGTGTACTTGTAGCTGATTCAGCCACACACCTAAAGTCCTAGCCACGCAAGTAATTGCCAACCCTGGTTTAAAGCCGGCGCTTGCCGATTCCCAACCCTTCCTGAGCAAAGCCTCTGCTTTCCTGTCCATTGGGTCCTTCAATGCTCCCATGTCTTCAAAATGATAAATCAGTCTTTTTAGAGACTTTCGATAAGGAGGCATCAATTTTCGGGCATTTGTCCCACAGGCCTGAATCCTCCTCCGCAAATGGAAACCTGCGCTTGTGCCCCGCCGAGAAAAACATTTTCTCAGGGTGCTTCCACTCCTCCTGGATCAAGTCCGAGAGTGATTTGTGAACCGGGAAGGTACGCCCCTTCTTAGTCTGGAGGACTTTGTAAAGTTTATCATGCACCGACAGCTCCGCAGACTCCTCTTTTATACCCAAAGTATCCCCTATGGCCTTCAACAGCTCACCTGTCTCAAATGAAGGGAACAGGAATTTTGTAGCTTTGCTATGTAACTCCCCCTCTGACTCCTGATCCTCCGACTCTACTTGAGAGCCCAAGGATTCACTGGGCGCTTGCTTGCTCAAGCAGCTTTCTGCATAGCCCATTGAACTACCTTCCCCTGATGTTCCGGACAGACTGGGCTCTGTAACACAGACCTGAAAGATTGAAAAGTTGTAACCATTTCCTCTCTCATAGAATCTATCAAGCCCTTGAACATCCCAGCCGATTCTTTGGCTACCATCTTCTCTAAACAAACTTTGCATAAGGGTTTGGACCATGAAGGTGACATTTTGACACTGCAAGAGGCACACTTCTTCCCTTTTGGCCGAGAACCGCTAGCTGCAGCAAGGGGCTTATCCTCCGTGGCCTTGACCTGCGTAAGACAGAAGGATGCCGTCAGCCATTACTTCACCCAAACATGCCGAAAAATACGAAAGTTCAACCAAACATCACCCCCCGCTTGTCCTGTCACAGGCACCCAATACAAGCGGGGTAAGGCTAGGGGAGAATCATCATAAAAAACTTGCCTACCTTAGCGCCAGTACTATGCTCTCCCAGATCTGGGGAGGCAGCACCTGGTCCGGCATCCTCACCCCTACTGCCGACAGCGCTAACAGCCCGCTCCTGACGCCCCCACCGGCCGTATGTGGTCCCGGTCATCTTCGAGGTGTGCAGCTTATAGTCGTGGCCGAGTGGTGTTAATCGTGGCAGATTCACCCCCCAGAGGCTTCTCCAAAGGCTTGGTCTCATGCATGCCAGCGCTTTTGTGTCCAAAAAAAGAAAACTCCGGCCCGAGCCGCCGCGCCGGAAGCGCGTCACTGCTCCAGTGACTCACTTCCGCCCTCTCCGTGCTGCTACCACCCACTCTGAGTCCAACAGCCACACGTGAGCAGGCGACGCCAACCCCCTCCCGCGCGAAACACCATGCGGTGCCGCGGGGGTACAGCAAACAAACGGCACCCCTAGAAACTTCTGCGGGGGGTAACCATCTCCAGGTAAGCTCCAGTGCCCCTACCCTGGAGACAGTCCATTCTGTCAGCCTGTTTGTACTGCTGCCCCGATTTGATATGCTATCACAAGGGGGTGCTCTGCTGCCACTGGGGAACTCACCACACTGCACACCGGGGGGGCCACCGTCTGGAGCCACTTACGTCAGGAGGATGGTTTCCCTCCCTGAGCGACGGAGAGGAACCTTGGCCAACTCGGATGGGGGTCCGATAAAGGAAACAAACACTGCATGCGCCTCAGCAGGCTCTGCCTGGAGTAGGTCCCGACGCATGCGGGTTTAGGCCCTGCCTAAGGCAATAAAATAATGAGCCTCAAAATAACAAACATTACGATGTCCCTGTGTAGCCGGAGGAAACACAAAAAAACTGAATTGGAATGGAAGGAGGAGTCTTTTTATGTAATGTGGTTGATGTGTTTCCTGTTGCAGGCAGGCGGAGCCTTCTCTCATGGGCTGTCCTGGAAGATGACTGGGGAAAAATGAATGCAACTCAGGCCAGAAATAAATGTTGTGACATTGCATAAGCTTACTAAATGATGCCATGGTGAATGCGAGCTGTAATCAAAGCTATAGGTGATCCAATGAAATATTAGAGTGGGTGACTTTTTTTCTGGACAGGCAGTGTAAATCCAAAATTGGAGCATGGCTCACTGAACAAACTTTGAAGTATTGCTAAGGATAATTCTACTTCAACTGTGCAGGTATTCCTTTTGAGTACCTGTCTTCCCAGAGAAGGAGACAAAACCAGTAGCTGTGCCCCCCATTTCCCTGAAAGGGAAAACACCTTATGTATGCTTTCAAACATTGATTCACATTAAATTTCATACATGAAGCAATAACAAATTGGAAAACAATGCTTTATTAGCAAGAATCACATGTACAATAATACAAATATTTTGGAAGGTTATGTCTATTTTACAAGTATATTCAAAGCCTGCTTCTGCACAGGCAACCACAAGTGGAACTTACAACGATAGCCGCCATTGTTTACGGTGACTACACCACTTCCACCTTCCCCAGTGAGGCAAAGGCTCTCAGTTGTGCTCATGTTAAAAGCCCTTCTCTCCAAGCCAAGTCTGGAGTTCTGTATCAAAGTATCCTTTGACCCTGATAGTTCTGTTGATCTCGTTAACTTGTGTTGCTGGTGTCTTTCCTGTTAGTTGGGTCAAAAAGTCTTTTACTTCAGTTTCAAGAGCCTGTGAAAAGTACAGAATATTACATGATGAGACACACATTGTATTTGTATTACCCAGAGGATTGGATACCCTGAAATTCATTCTGAAAAGCAATTTATGCTGATCAATCAGCTTCTCTGTTTCATTTTCAAATCTTAACTGAACAAGAAGAGAGAAGCTGCAGTTTTGA